ATTTATTCCATGTATAAAGTGACATAAACATAATTTAAATATTTGAAATTTTGAACGATTGTTCAAATTTTTAATGTCGTAATAGATCTCAAGGTGGCGACTTGTGTCAACGAATTTTTTTGGCGCCACTCAATAGTTTGAAGCTGCGTAATGGCTATGTGTCACAAGATTTCGCGTTCTCTCTATTAATATTAAAAAGTGGTGCATAAAACGGTAGTATTACGGCAAAAAACGCATTCAGATGCCAAACCTTATCGTTTGATTATCTTTTTATTCGGAACCAGTGTTTCCTTCACTCGCATTTGAATCTCAAGTCTCAAAGAATGTGCGTGTCTTCTAATCGTGGTACGTTGTGCTTAATAAACTTTTAAATTCAATATTTAAACAACGCAAAAGTGAATAATATAATAATATAGTGCAATGGCACGACCGGAATGTATAAAATTAAACTTTTTTAAACGTTTGTAATAATTTTAGCTAAATAAAACGTGTAATAAACGTTACATAACCGATTCCTTTCGAGGAAATGTTTAAAAAAAATTCAAATTCAAAATTCCAATGCCGCCGCTAGATGGCAGCACGCGACGCAATTACGGTTGGCTTTAACAGTAGAACACTTGTTCAGAAACGCTCGGCAAGTAGGATTCGGTGTTAAAAGTGTGTGCGATGTGTGGTGAGTGTAAACAAAAGTGCACTAAATTTCTGCGAAATGTTCGAGAAAGGTGACGCAAGCCTGTAATAAATGTTAACCTCGTCAAACGATTCTGTGGACGTCGGTGTCAAGGAGTATTTCGGTTACCGTCCGGACGTCCAGGCATTTGAACGTGCATTGTGGGTGAGTGTTTTTAAGGTTATCCATTGATTTATCAACGACGGTCCCGTTTATCTCAATTTTTTATCGCGTTGATATTTTCTGCCCGTCACCGTAGAATCGCGTAATGTTATCCGAATTCTGTCGAGAATCATTCAGTGATTCGGAAGCTGCGATGTATTCCTTTGTCTGTCATTTGCTTTTTAATTATCACCTAACTTTATTGACATCCGCAGACATTTGTTTCACGCGATCCTTGAGAGTCAAATAACCGTATAAATATACCCGTTCTTCTGTGTGAGTTTGACAATGTCATTGATATTAATTTGTTTTGTCGATTAATTCCGTTCACGTAGTGTGGAATTACTCGTCTACAGTGAAGCTTCCCTCTCCGGAACGTTTTCAAGGCTAAACATTCAACCGCGGCATTTATTTTGTAACTATACTTCAATTGTGGTTAGATGTATCGTATTTCTGTTGTCTTTGTCGTATTAATTTCACTGTATGTACAATTCTGTTTTTATTTCATCGAATATCTAGGAATATATGAGACAATTATCGTTACACGCGAACGTGTGAACATATATAGGTATGTATACACGTATGTATATACGTTGTTGTCAATAAATGACCTTCAGATTTACACGATATCCCGCTACGATATATCTGCGCAAAAATGAAACATTTTTGTAACACCTTCGATAGCTCAGTTGGTAGAGCGGTGGACTGTAGTTGGTTGATTCTTGGAAGAGACATCCATAGGTCGCTGGTTCGAATCCGGCTCGAAGGAATTTTTTTTTATTTCTTCGAATCGCCCTTTTTATCCTTTTTATCTACTTCTCGATCTTTATTTTTCGCTATTTTCATAAAAACAACAGTGGCATCGATTATTTAACAATAAAATACCGCGAAATACGAAAATTAAAAGATTCATATTCTTGTGATTCCAAAAAAATATATTTTCGCGTTTCTTGAACGGTACGTTCGTTTTTTTTCTTATTGATTTCGTTATAATAGCCTTTTGTTGCTCCGTTTCCTGCGTCAAATACTTGCTGCCCTCTGGAAGTGCGAGTACATATCACAGAGGACGTAGTTGGCGATAATGTAGTGCTACTTCCTCACGATAATGTGACACCATTAGCCTTACGCATTATCACCATATTAAGTGTATAGTTAAACACATAAATAGTTCAGTTATAACTTTGCTAACAAACGACTTTACCGAAAAGTGATAAAAAAAGTACTCAACAATATGAATATCGTCCATAGTTCTATCTTGAACTTAAAAAAAAAATTCGAAAAATACAAAAAAAAACGAAGTTTTGTGCACAACACTGCCCTATGGTACCACAACACACCGCTAGATGTCCTCTAATGAATTCCTATTCTCACAACTTTCGTCCCTTAGCCGAAGCATAAATTTACACCCGGTATTCGAACAAAAAGAAACAAAAATTAATTTCTAGCTGTAAATCTATCGTTTAAAAAATATCAATGATCCTGATAAGGGAATATCGATGGAAAAAAAGAGGTAGCCCAGAGTTCATCGAGCGTGTCCCGAAGGAAAAAGGGATTAATCTCGATGGGTGATCGGGCGGGATCGGCTCGCCGAGACGCGACGCTGATACACCGCCGCGGTCCCCGTTCACGTTAATTTATCGTCGAGCCGCTCTAATCGTCCTTCGTAATTTATTACTACTCTGTTCATATTTATCGGAGGGGCGGTGGATCCCCCGGCACGCTTGTATTGTACGCGCGAAATTGCTTATATTGTTGCATGCTCGTCGGATCGCGATAAATTATTCGGCCACGAAGGTGTGATACCTGACGCGCTACCAATAGATCGCAATTGTGGACGAGCACGATTTGATACGGTACTTTGTGTCGCCGTGCTTTGTTACGCCCTACCCTGCATCAATCCTAGCGGCCTCGTGTCTGTATTTAGAGGGAGAACAAGGGGTGGATTTGAAGCAGATTTTGGGGCTCATTTATCTCAATGGCGGGACATTTATTTTTTATGCATTGAACATTTTTGTTTTTAATCGAGTGTTAGATCGATAGACGAGAAATTTTTACGGTTAATTTTATTAGAATATTGTGTCTGTATGATAAGAGAGAGTGGGGAGGTGGATTGGAAAGGAGATTTTGGGGCTCAGTTATTTTTTATGCATTGAAAAAATTTTTTTTCATTCAAAGTTAGAGCGATTGACGTGGAATTTTTGTCAGTTGTTTTTTTAGTTTTTTGTCATTTTACTAGAGACAGCGATTGTACCTGTCTTTACGAACAATTCCTCGACATTCTCCAACAGTTCACACCCTCCCTCGAAGATTCAGAGGCACACGTACAATCGTTTTCCAGCGAACAGGTCGATTCATCCGGTCAAATATTTGCCTCCGGAATTTCGGCGCTGGCCAATCGTCCGACCACCATGGGGGCGTAGCTTTTCGTCGTTCGAATAACGATAATCGTGCGGCCTGGCTGCACGCAATTCCGCGGTGGACCTCTCGTTCATCGTCACGTTTCACCATTTACTCGAGAAAATCGTGGAAATCCTTCTTAAAAATTATTCCAACAATCGATCATACTTTTCCTCGACATATGTAATCGATTACATTTATTTGGAGTACTCTCGCGATTCTTTTTCATCGTCGTATCAAATCTGTTAGATCGATGAAATTGTGAATACTGCGAATGCAAAATTAAGGTATTTCTCAGTGATAAATATGACACAGATTTTTTTTATTAAATAGATTATACGAAAATTATATTTTTTCATTGTGA